AACCCTGTTATGATCATCACTATTACACTCTGTTCCTCTACAACTACCTCAGTGATTGATATAGGCATCAGCATTTCATCCAGAGCATGGCACTAGCAAGCTGTAGCATATTTTTCATATTTTTCAAGCTGTAGCCTTTGGATGTTGGATTTCAGTCTCCATCATAGATACAGCTGAAAGAGTAATGTTATTACCGACATGTAACTTATTTCACCCATAAGTGTTAAGTTTAAGCATTTTGGTTTTGATTAAATAGACTAACTTTAATCAGCTGTGTATACATTTGTAATTCAGTAGAACAGGACATCACTGGAAAGGGGTGAATACTTATGAAAGGCACTGTCCTTCACTTGATGCATGTTAAAACCTTGGGTCAAGTACGCAAAGATGATGCCTTTTGTTGTGGGGAAAAACAAAGTTTGCCGATGAGGGGAGGCCACCTTGCCCATTGTTGGTTGCTGATTAAATAGAGTCTCTCATCCTGCTGTTTCTTGAACAAAGCCAGGGTATCAGCTTCGACATCGTGGCTGGGGACACTTGTTCCATTATCCGTCAACTCCTTGGGTAAAGAAATCCTTTGCTTTCTGTTCTGAAAGCATTTCCCTTTTGTTTCCATTCAGGTGCTCTGGTTTGTGTTTCACGGCTGACTAGGAAGAATTCCATAGGGTTGGATTTGTCAGAGGCTTTGAGGATGTGGAATAAGTCCTCTGAGATCAATTACATACAGTACCATTTCTGGAAAACAGCAGCACCTTACTAGTGACCTTACTAGTGACACCTTTTCAGCATGTCTGAAGAAAATGTGAAACAAACATTAGTGGACACTATTTTGGGAGAAATATTTAATAGGAAAGCACACGTGAAATTGTTATTGTATTGTTGCAAGTTAAGAAACTAGAGAAATATCAGAAATCATCAAGTAGTTAAATCAGTAAATACGTTAAATCATCATATCCCCCTCCCCAAGTTGTAAAGATTTTGCCAAGAATGTATCAAAGTGACTGATATTGTTAGAGGGGCCTGAGTGTTCTGGCACACTGAATTATTGACAATGACAGTACACATGCTAAACAACACAAACATACAACACACAAGTTACAGTACATTATGTACAGACTTTCAAATAAGGCATCCTAGAGACCTAACATCCTAACCACCCAGACAAAAAAGACTGTTACCAAGTATTTGACTCTTATATTCTGCCTGCAAAAGTCAAAATAAGAGAAAGCTGCCTTCTAAACCAAGCGGAATATGACCTGTGGTTAAATCCCGCTCTCTACAAATCCAGATGCCACAAAATGAATGGGAACCTATTCTAAAATGTACCCACCAGCCAGGAGAGGCTGTTTTTAACCAAGGGATTCTTTACACAGGAAATTAGACTTTCCTAAAAACAATAGAATAGCCAGCTCTCTTAACAAGGTTAGAGTTATAGTAATTTATTTATCCAATATAGTCTTTCCGGGTGATCTAGAACAAGAAGCTCTCGCTTTTTCCACTCTTGCCTTTTCTCTTCCTTTACCATTTGTTGTCTTGTTTTCTCTATGTCTGTACCTGCTTGTTTCTACTGTATGTGGTGTTGGACTTCTGATTGACTCTAAATCATTTAAACAGAACATAAGGTAAACCAAGGTAAGATTTACGAATCTGGGACCACTACCCCTACCTGGAAATGTTGGCACAAGTCGGGTGTTACTTATTGTATCTAGATTCACTTCATACTTGTATAAATAATTGGTTTAATAAGGCTTTATTATTATGGAATTCGTCACATTATCAGCTGTTACTGTAATTTATTTTCTATACAGGTGGCTCATTTGCTGGAGAATCTAGAGCTGAGCAGTTTCATAATGTCCTGCAAGTGGAAAATTACAACCATGGGGCTTTTCATGCATAGTTGAAAGCTTATTGAAACCCAGCAGTTGGTTTAATAAAGCAAGTTCAAGCTTCTTTTCCAGTGACAAGCTTACCTACATTGCTCCAAATGAGATACTTTCATCGTTAGAATGAAACGTTTTTTTCTTCAAAAATATTTCTTTCACTCAAAGCAGGGGCACAAGAGGACAGTTTTGTTTTGCCTCAACTACAGCAATATAAGAAAGGTTAAACATGAGAGCAGGCCCCTTCGACCGATCCATTACATCTTCTGAGTTGTCTTCTATTGTTCCTGTATTTTGTGATTCTAGAGAAGTCCAGTTGGTTGACTTTGTCATTGTCTTTGAGAATTTTAAATGCTCCAATCATAATATTCTCTGGTCAAGGCTAATGAAGAAATCAGTTATTTTATCTTGTTAGATCTTTTTACACCTGAGAATCTTTCTGGTTACTCTTCAGTGGACAGATTCCAGAGCAGAAATATATTTTTTTGTTATGTGTTGACCATTATATATTAAATATGCATTGTTCAAGTTTACAATCATATATATTGATCTTCATTCATACTTAACTGTATGTCCTTCAATTTGCCATTTTTGTATCTCATCCACACCATCTAGATCACAAAATGATGCGTCTGTTAACACCTAAGCCATTTTTGTATCTTCTTGAAGGCAGCTTCCCATTTATAGGTGTAGTTTACATTATTAATACTGGCAGGTGATACTCTGCACTTTAGATGTTTAAACGCTGTTTGCTGTATTTTGAATGCTGTGCTGCTGTTTAGAATTTGCAAGGTTCGATGCAATGCTCACAATGTTTATAAAGCATAGTGATTCTGGAAAACATTCAGAAAGCAATATAGTTCTAAAATATTACTACAGAACTACAAGCATTCAAGCAAGATTTTGGAAGTTGTGAAAATTGTTTGACATCCAAACTGATTTTCACCTGCTTTCTTCAGTTTTCAGCATCCATTTTTTGTTTATTGGAGAAGATAAACAACCGAACAAGTTTCCTAGTTAGAAATCTCCTAAATTACTGACCCGAGATCCCCCTCCTCACCCAGCACCTTGAACCACAGAGCTTTAGAAACACACCAAAAGGTAATAAAAGTACAGGTGGTGTAATCAAGTTAAATAATAAAATAGAAAACAAAAATAAAGCAGTAACTGAGATAAAATCAAACTGAAATGAAATAATAATAATAATTGCTTACACTTATGTAGCGCTTTTCTGGACACTCCACTCAAAGCGCTTTACAGGTAATGGGGACTCCCCTCCACCACCACCAATGTGCAGCATCCACCTGGATGATGCGACGGCAGCCATAGTGCGCCAGAACGCTCACCACACATCAGCTATCAGTGGGGAGGAGAGCAGAGTAATGTAGCCAATTCATATAAAGATTAAAATGTACAGTACGGGAGTACAGCATCCAATTGAAACTAATCTAGAAAAGATATCGCTGAAGGCAAATCATTAAGCCATTTCTGGAATATAAATTTGAAGAGTTTTTTTTTAACTATTGAGAGGGAGTTCATTGACTTTCTTGGGATACTGTGACAACTGGGAAATGGCAGCAGTCTGGATCCTGTGACTTATTTCTTTCTCCTCTGACAGCAGAAGAGTCCTTCTCTGCCGTGTCCTCAGCACTGTTAAATGCAGGACGGAGATGAATGGGGGAAGAGAGAGGGTGTGTGATATTTTAAAGCTCGTGCTCCAGACAGGTGTAGAGAGCAGAGAGACCCTGCAGAGCAGAAACAGCTGTTTTTCCCTTCCACTTCATTAGCAGTGCAGCTAAGAATAAGGAGCCTGGTTGTCTCCAATTCCCCATGGCTCATTTTTCAGTATTTCTGGCTTGGTTCCACACCTTCATTTGGAATCTGTTCCTTTTATGATGGTTTAATTTCTGTTTTTGCTCGTACTTGCAGCACAAGGCTCTTTTTTTTCTTCAGCCCTGACATTTGGCCTAGAAGGCCTTGTCCCTCCTGATGCAAGTGAAATGGCTCCGGCCATCTTGGTTAAGCTGAAAATGAAACGAGATGCTCAGGATCCAATTTTGCTGGACTTTGCCAGTGTCTTGCTGTGGTGCATTATGAATCTGGAAACTGACCAAAGCAGTTGCAGTGCAGTGTAGCAGCTACTGCAGTGTTGTACTGTGGGATCAGGGAGAACCAGTTAGTGTTGACTGAGTACCTTGTAGGCTATAGTTGTGTAGGACAGAAACATTTTTGAAAGTACCAGACCTTCCCCAAAAAGGCCTCACATGAACATAGAAATCCTCATTTTTAAAACATGTGATTGCAGTGTACACACTTTTTGTAAGGAACACAACCACAGTCATGTTTAAATTTGTGATCCTGGCTGCTCACACTGTTACACATTTTCTCCCTATGAACAAGAAATACCTTGCCCTTTTTTGTGATACTACACTAGTTTCATTGTTTATAAAAAGCTATTTACTGATTTTTTTTACTGAGTTTTACTATTTTGTGTATATACTGTAGGTTCCGCTGCAGGTTTGTACTAGTTTGAAGGGACAAGCTCAAATCAACGTTAATCCACAATAATAGTCATGGCAAGCTGAACTGAGATGTAAAGTGGTCTACATAAATCAGTGCATTTTCACCTCTGGAGGACAGTGTTCAAGATTTGTTCAGGTCACAGGCGATAAGAGCTTCTTCAGTCTAGTGGCCCCAGCTCTCTTGTCACCAGAAATAAATGAGTTCTTATCCAATCTGAAAGTGTGGGTGTGAGGGGACTTGACACATGTTTACAGACGCGGAGAAAAAAGAGCTGTGTCTGTCCTGCAGAGATTGCCGATTTACAGACAGATCTGTGAAGCTTATCACTTCAACATTCAATGAGGTCTTGGAAGAAAAGCATGGACGTTATTCTTTCAGCCCAATTTCCCAGATGCTCAGCTCCCCCGAAATGCTGCTGTTCTTAGTTCGCTTTTGGTTACCACTGAGCTGAACAAATTTCACAGGACGCGGGTTTAAATTGTTTTGCTGGGACTGAGTATTTGGTTCTTTGATTAACTTCTGATCAGCATGGTGAACTGAACATCTTGCGTCCTAACAAGAAGTAACCTACACGTCTGCTCTCCTTCCTCCCTCCAGAGGTGGTGCAGAAGCCCCAGGAGGGGCCAGGAGAGATGGGCAAGCCAGTAGTGATCCCCAAGGAGAACCAGGAGAAGATGAAGGAGATGTTCAAGATCAATCAGTTCAACCTCATGGCCAGTGAGATGATCGCGCTCAACAGGTCGTTACCTGATGTCCGGTTGGAAGGGTGAGTGCATCCACTGGAGCTGCCAGTGTCTTGCCGAGACACATGGGCCCCATGCCTCTCTGTACATTGAGGTCTGCCGTCATTCTTCTTCCATTTGTTTTTGAGGGGTTTATCATAAAAAAACTTCTATACTCTACAATCATGACTTTCAGAAGCACGTCGTAAACGCCCCTGTGATGTGGGCATCATGAAGAATACATGGCTTTTATGGTCTAATCCATTGTTTGTTTAAAATATTGACTAATAAACTTAAGGAGAAACCAATTTGGTTTGTTTTTCCAGCTGGCGGTTTACAGCCGTCATCTCTGCCCTTGAGAAAACCGGTGATACTGAAAAGCTGTATTTCTTTTCAGGAGAAGACTTCGCCGGGCGCTTTGCTTGTTGTCTCTGTAAGCAATAGCTCAGCTTGTTTGATTTGTATTAAAAGCCCTTGAGTGGCAGGGAGTTTGTTAGATCAGCAGTATTTCAGCGGGTGACGCAAATGGAAGTTATATTTGCTGTTGTCCATGTTCCCACGGCTTTATTTCTTGTTCAGGCATTGGAAATAAAAAAGTAGAAATGGAAGAGGCGAGTTGAAGTGCAGTTGCCGTGTGGCATTAGTTTCCTGTAAAAGGGAGAGGTAAGATTGGAATCGGGCTAATTTTGCAATGCAGTGTTTTTCTAGACAGCAGTTCTAGATAAATATTTTATAGTAAATAACGGAGGGTGGGGGTGGATTATCGATAGAAAGATGTCAGGGTAAAGAGCTGTGCCCCAAGCGCTTTGCCCCAAGAGAAAAGTGTGTCTGGGAATAAACTTGTTGAGTGTTAAAGAACACATACTGTATGTGACATACGGTAGATTTTAGATGGTTTTCCATTGGGCAGTGTCTTCGGTGCAATCTACCATAAGAATGGTAACGAAGTTAGAGGTCATTCAGGCCAACTTTCTTGCTCAGGGGATAGTCGCTTATTGATCTAAGAACGTGCTTCTTGAAGAATCTCATTAAGACTACCTGTAGAAAAGGGTTAGGTATCATGTTCCTAATACCCACAGATCTTTATAGGAAGAAGTGTCTCCTATGTGTAATCCTAATGTAAGATTTTCTGACATTTATGGTATTTTACACCAACAGAAATATGTAATGCATAGTTTTCATATTAAAGTAATGTTACAGGTCATGTAAATTGTTAGTACAGTGTTTCAGATTATGAAAAGGAGAATACCGAATTTCCACTCTCGTTCCCTCCTGAATCATTCCTCACAAAGAGTAAAACTACAGGAAAAAGAGACAGAAAACAAAAGAAGGTGTATAGAAAAATACTTATTACTCTGAACAGTCTTTAGAAGCAAAAACGGTAGTCCGGTCAGGTTTTATTAGAATAGCCAGTTAACAGATTAAGGTCTAGGGTGTAGAGGAGAGGCTCAAAGTCTCAAAGTAGTTGGGGAAGACTTGCCAAGCTATAAAAAATAATGGTGGACCTGCAAAGCGTGCATCTAATTTTCTCCAACTTTAGAAACTGCATCATATCTCTGACCCCTTGAACAAATGTGAGTGAGGCAGCTTGCTATGCGGTTGTATTTTTGTTATGGTGAGATTAATAGTGGGCACACCAAAAACAAACTGTAACGGGACTGGGTCCGATCCCAAGATGAGCAGCGAGAATGTACCGAAAGGGCAGGACCAGAAAAGAATCAGCCTAGGATGAGACCAAAACCCATGGCTTGCCCGCCTCTGTCACGTCGGGTCCAAGTTAAGAAAAATGTTATCAAGCTGAGATTTTGACAAAGGGACAAGTAAAAGGTTTATTCCATGCTGAAAAGAGAAGAAAGCAAACAATGTTTTGGCTGCGGAGCCTTCTTCAGGTGTGAACGTTGTGTTTCCTTTCTTCTCTTTCCACCATGGAATTGACCTTTACTTGTTCCTTTGCAGCCAAAGCATGCTGACACAGCTACCCACCTTAACTATTTTAGATTTTGACATATGTAAGCTTACTGTAACTTCTGTTTTTGTCCTTAAATCTTGTTGAGTTGTATGACTTAATTTTGTTCTTTTAGGGTTTTGAAATCTCTGGATCAGATCCCTCTCCTAAGCATTCTGTCTTCCAAGCTAGAATTGTTGTTTTTTTAAAACGATTTGGTGTGTGAAATAGAACAATTTTCCCTTTCCTCGCAGCTTAATTGGTTTTTCAAGTGAACACATGAGTCTTTCAGAAATTTTACACTAGCCCAGTGTTTCATCCTTTGGTTTTTGAATTGTCAGTGTGATAACGGACTAGGGAGACTGGAGAAACAAATGCTCTCCTGAGTCCCATGGAGAAGTGATACGATTGATTGCTGGCAGATGACATGTGGTTAAGGGACAAAGGCTTAAAATGAATAACAAATACAGTCAAAACTGACACACATACACAACCATATCCCCATCCTGTCTCATCTAACTGGTATAAGCCCCGATCAGGGAAATGTGAGTCTTAAGTGTTAGAAACCTCTGCTTGTTTCAGGTTCAGGTTCATGTAGTAAAAAGCACATCTGTGATTGGTTGGGTTGATCAGAGCTGAGGGCCTTGGAACAGAGAGAGGAGAAAAGGGGAAGAAAAGAGAACAAAATAAAAAAAAACTTTATTTTTACTCATGTGACATTTCCTTTAAAGGGTACGGTGACTGTGATGTCAAATTTCAGTGACTTTGAGGAATTGCTTTTGTCTCCTGACACTTATTTAATCTTAACATGCTGGAGAAATCAATGTTGCAGCTTCTAAAGAGTTTGAAAATGCTTAAGAACATAAGGAAGGTTACAAACAATGGAGCCATTTGGTCAGTCTAGTTCATCTGTTTGTGGCTAATGGATCTGTGGGTCTTGGAAGAAGACAGGGGTATCGGCTTCAACAAAATGGTCGGGTAGCTTGTTCTATACTCCCACAACCCTTTGGGTAAAATGTCTTGTTTTAAATGCAGTTCAGTGTAGTTTCTACTGTACATCTGCCCTCCAGTTCGTGCTGTACTGTTCTGCAGAAATCCACCGTTTTGACATTGTCAGTGTCTTTGAGGATTTTGAGTGCTTATGTCTTGAAACTATTTTTAATAAAGAGAAAACAAATGTACTTGAAAACTGAAGCCATTAATGTTAAAGAAAAACAGGCAATCCTCTTCCTTTGTTGATTTGTTCCAAGTCTGTTTAAGATTTGTAATAAGAAGCTTATTACATTTTTAGTGGCAAAAACAAAGAGTTCTTGTCCTAGCCTTATCCTACTGGGTAAGCACACAGTACCTCCAAACTAATGTTCTTCATATGTTGTCAGCGTAAATGACTTGACTTTTAAATCTTTTTAAATTTTTCCATTCACTATTTTAGAATAATTTTATTTATTGACCTGTAATATACAGTATAGACACAAACATCTTGGGCCAGTGTTAGGTAGTGTTTGCAAAAGGTGAAGGTTTCGGAATAATGGAGCGTTTTTAAGTGGCCAGACAAAAACAGTTATTATGTTTAAGTATCCTTTTTAAAAAATGTGGCTAAGGTGAACATCACTACCAAAAAGGGGCCAGAGGTTAAGAAACACTTAGTAATCAAGGCACAAGAAAATTGAAGTAAATCACACAACCATGTGTTCCATTATGCAGGTCTTGTGCAAATTGAATATTCTATTTCTGAATATGTTGTAGGCAGCAGTGTTATCACCTTTTAGCCTCATCATATTACATCTTAGAACCCAAGCAAGTCTGGGCCTGATCAGTACTTGGATGGAAGACCTCCAGGAAAATCCAGATTGGTGCATAAGGTGGCATTTGTCCTTCTGGGCTAGAATTTCCAAAACTGTATCCTATCGTGGTGACCTGGGACACAGTGCTGTAGGAGATACAGCCCTTTCGGATTTGATGTTAAACAGAGGTCCTGACTACTTGATGGTTAGAGATCCCACTGCACGTTCTGAGCAGGGGTGGTAAGCCCAATGCCCTGATTAGATTCTATTCTGGGTGTATACAGTCTGACCTTCCTAGGGTTTATCTTTAATTCAGTTGGTGAAGCAGGTACTCCCTTCTCTGCCTGATCTGCTGTTTGGTGGGGCTGCTGGTGTATAACACTTGCCATCAAGGTCATCAAGCTCTTCACTTCAGTGGTGGATGAAGCTGTTCCTCTCCTTTACGTAAAATGCTTTGGGATCCTTCGTGATAAAAGATGCTTTACAAATGTATGGCATTGTTATTGTTTTATGTGAAATACCGTGCTGTGACTTCCTCCTATAGCTTCCGAAAAGGTTAAATGTGATTGGAAGTGTGACTGCCCTTCTTTTCCTCTCCCAGTACAGAAGGGCTGTGTGCAAAGATAGAGTGGGAAGATTCAGGCCATGTTTCTGCGCAGGAACCTTTTGTCTGCATCTCAGTCTGAGAGCTGACAAGGAGCCGCTGCTGCTGCAGTCCCTGATGTGGAAAACAACTGCGAGCCTTGTAAATGTCTGGACTTCGTGTCAGTCAAGACAAGGGCTCAAGCCAGCTCTGCGGTGCCGTCAGTGTCTCGGTTTATATGAAACTGGGGCGTTTAAGGTTATGATATGGGGTGCATATAAATAGCAGATAGTCCTGGAAACGAGGCAAGACAAAAGTTTATACTTTTATATTCTATATGTCACAGTATTGAGATCGAGTGTTGTTGGTGTTATACAGTGTCATTTCTTCATATTATATGCCCTCTGTGCCCAGCCCTTTGAACTGATACGGTTCCCATGCATTTCGAATAGAAACTGAATGCTGTACATGCACATAGCTAAGGGAATCTTAGCATGTGAACCTGTTTCAGTGCCGTAGTAAACATTTTGCTATCTTGCAATTTAAAATGTTACAGTATGTGCATTTGCAGGCGACACTATGTTTGGAATGAGATCTGGCAAAGGACTGCTGGATCCTCATTTTTGGGGGGAGCCTCTAAGTAGGGCCCTGTAACACATCTGTTATAAAACTGCTCCAAGATGCTTGTGGAGGACAGAGAGATGAGTAGCACAGGCTGCCTGACCACATAAA